GGGAAAGTTTCTGCCATCAAACTCAACACTTCTAAACAAGCTAAGGTGAGACCCAGTGCAGTTCTTTGTGTTTGTGGTGAAACGAAAGATGTCTTATAGGATGTTTAATTAAAGGATACAATTTTATCTACTGTATTTCTTGGGGAACTGATTTCGTCCCCATGTAGTACATACAGTTGACTGTTTTAGCTGGATACAGTAACAGATCGGATTCTATGCATTCACTGTAACAGTTTGCCCATTGTCTATTGTAGCACTCCCTCATCCATCTGCACGGCTCATTTAAACAAAGCGTTCTTTAATGGTAGAATACTAGGAAAGAAACTTCGTCTATTTATTCATTGCGTGAGTAAAATGGTAAACACAGAAATGTCACCAAGGTCTCAGGGTCCTATTCTTTTCCTGGCCTCTGCATAGGAAAAGAACTCACAGGTCTAGGAATATTTTCTCTCGGGGTTGGTGTAACTTGTGAATGGACTCTCAAGGGCATCTCCTGACTTGTGCTTTGCCTTGTAGGTCCACAAACGTCCTGCCACTTATTGTTGGAGAAGCAGGGTTCGGGTTCAGGTTATCCTAGTAGAGAGCTCCAGTCTGGCATTGAGACAGAGCAGACTAGCTTCTCCCTGTTCTCCTCCAAGGCTACTAGGTTAGAATTAAGGGATTTGTCTCTCACTGACTTATTTCTGTATTGGATCCTGGCACAAAGGAAGAGATCTAACTATTATTCACTAAATTATTTTAACAAACAGAGAGTATTCTGATTTGACATGTTAACTCATTGAAGTTATCATTTGATTTCACACACATATGCATACACACACATATACACATAAACACATGTACATACATAGATAGATATCTATATTTATTTATTTTTAGAAGGATCTTGCTGTGTTGCTCTGGTGGGCCTTGAGCTTGTGATCCTCTGGCCACATCTCCTGAGTAGCAGGGACTGTAGGCATGCACCGTGCACCTTACCCCAATATTTTTATGATCCAAAGCCACTATTGAAACTATACAGGGTATGAACCTAATTTATCTTTGTCCCAAAGGGGATGTAAGGGTCCAGAGATCGTTCTAACTGATGGAGACGGAGAAAAGACAAAGACAATGCAAATGTAAAAGAGGCTTTTATTCTTTTTCCAGCTAGCTGGGGTCCGAGTTTGCCCATCGCAGTGGGCCTTAACAAGGACCCCCGTACCTGAGATAAAGGAGTCTTTTATAGTTCAGGATTGGGAACCAGCAGTTAGCGTAATGGCTATGTCGCTGGACTCCCACGTAGTCGACCGCGGTTCGTGTCCCGGACCCGGTGGCTTACAACTCACGCCGGGCGCGTGTGCGTGCGTGCCCAAGATCCCGAGAGGAGAATGGAGGAGAAGGGATTGCGGCGTGACCATCCCCCCTGGGGGGTGATTTCTCGCTTTCTGTCTCTATGTCTCTCTCTGTCTGTCTGGCGAGCGCACGCGCCCTACAGTAAAAATCTCTCCAAAAAAAAAAAAAGGAGTCTTTTATAGTTCAGGATTTTCCGTAGAATGTAACACACACAAAGGAGGGGGGGGTATGAGAAGCAAGGGTCCAGCCGTCACCACCTGCTCAGGTCTAGATAAGGGCTCTCAGCTAAGGGTCTGGATGACCTTGTCTTGGAGGTGCTGGACCCTCCCATTTTCCACTTATCTGAGAGTTCCCAGACTCCTGGTTTCCGTCCTTGAGGCCCTAACAAAGTGGGCTCTGTCCTTGAAGACTTAACAGGGTAGCAATTAAGCTAACTCGCCCCAGCATTCCCTGACATGGCGGTGATTGTGCTAACTTGGCCTAACAAAACAAAAACCCTTTTCTTCTGGAGCCCAGACAGTAGCACAGTAGCAAAGTGTGAAGTCTCTTTGAGGAAGACCTAAGTGGGAACGTTGCCAGTTCACATCCGCAGACCTCCTTGAGTATCCCAGGCACGTGTAGGCCCATGATCTGGGGCTGGCTGACTTTGGTAGGTGTATCATAGTGTCAGGAAGTCAGGGGGTACTGTGTATCTGTCTCTCTTACTCTTGGAGTAAATAAATAGGCTTTAAAGGGAAAAACAAAACAAAAACCCAAGTCTTAAAGAGTTCTGGGTGTCAGCAGGTAAATGGTGGTTAAGGCGCTGGACACTCCCACATGGCCAACTACAGTTCAAGTCTGGGACCTGGTTGCTTGCTTTCTCACTTTGCCTCTTTCTCTCTCTGGTCAAATCAAAATAAATAAATGAATAAGTAAAATAAAATAATTCCTTTTTTAAAAAAGGTACTGGGGACCAGCAGTTAGCATAATGGATATGTCACTGAACTCCCATGTAGTCAACTGCAGTTCGAGTCTGAGACCCAGTGGCTTAAACTCACGCCGGGCACATGTGTGTGTGTGCCCAAGATTTTGAGAGGAGAAGGGATTGCGTTGTAGCCATCCCCCCTGGAAGGTGATTTCTCACTTTCTGCCTCTCTCTGTCTTTCTGGCGAGTGCACACATTCTGTAGCAAAAACCTCTCAGAAAAATAAAGGTACTATTCCACTGTCATGTACCAAAGTATTTTACAAAATTTCATTAAGTTAGTGAAACTTTGCTATCCTCACAGGTAACTTAAATTTGGTCTAATCAAAGTTTTATTTTCATTTAAAAGAAGAAGAGGAGGAGATTATGTGTAATGTTACAATGAAATAAACTTCATTTCCTTCTCACATCCCTTTTAGGCAGCGGCTGCCTTCGTGATGTTTCCTGTCCAGACAATAACAACAGTTGACTCCTGCGTTGTCCAGTTAGATTACCTGGATGGAAGACTGCTTGTATCCTCACTTACTCGGTCCTTCTTGTGTGACACTGAGAGGTAGACCAGCTAACCTTGAGTTACCAGAAATACAGCATTTTGGAACTGGGACTTGGAAATGATCCAGCCTAAGCTCCTAATCAATTATACGGATATTAATGAGGAACTAGTTGTGTGCAGGCTGGCACTAGAGAGTAGAGAGGAGGAAGGAGAAGCTAAGACAGTCCAGTGGGTGATTAAGACAGGATCCAGTGAACCCGACCATGAGGCTTGATCTAAGTGCCAGGAGACAAGGCCACAGGTCTGCTTCACTGTGGGGAACGAAGATCTCTGTGATTGAGTTTGGTGGTGTTTTTTTTTTCCCCCCAAAGAGTGCACATACTTGTCAGAGAGGAGAGTTAGAAAGAGAAGGAGAGGGAGAGAGCACCCCTCAATGGGATATGGTCATGCCCCAATCCCTTCTCCATTTCCCCATCCTGTTGGGATTTTGAGCAGGAGTGTGAGGTGATTTACTTCCTGTCATAGAAATAGCTAATGGCACGGTGGTGAGCGCCATGCAGCAGGAGCTGGATCGCACACGGCCAACAGCAGTTTAAATTCTGACCCCGTTGCTAAAAAACACTGAGCACATGTGTGTCCCTAAATCCTAAGAGGGAAAAGTGGGGGAGAAAGGCTTGTGGCATGACAGTCCCCCATGGGGGTGCTTTCTTGCCACCTCTCCCCTCCCCCTTAAGCACACATGCATCCGGTCTAGCAAATCAAAACAGTCAGAACAAAACAGTGTAAAGAATGTAAAGATCGCAGTGTGACCATGCCCCATTGGAAGGTTTTCTGTTTCTCTCTGGCAAATGTACACAACTATGACAGCTAAAAAAAAGGAGGGGAGGGAGAGAAATAGCTAATGGCAAATCAGAGCCAGAGACCAATCCTGGCCTTTCTGTTCCTTTGTTCTTTTTGTTTTGTTTTGTTTTGTTTTTTTTTTTGGAGAGGTTTTTGCTATAGGGTGCGTGTGCTCGCCAGACAGACAGAGAGAGATAGAGAGACAGAAAGCAAGAAATCACCCCCCAGGGGGGATGGTCACGCTGCAATCCCTTCTCCTCTATTCTCCGCTTGGGATCTTGGGCACGCACGCACACGCGCCTGGCATGAGTTCTAAGCCACTGGGTCCGGGACGTGAACCGCGGCCGACTACGTGAGAGTCTAGCGACATAGCCATTACGCTAACTGCTGGTTCCCAAGATTTTGGGGTTTTTTTGAGAGGTTTTTGCTATAGGGCGTGTGCATTCGCCAGAAAGACAGAGACAGAAAGTGAGAAATCACCTCCCAGGGGGAACGACCACACCACAGTCTCTTCTCCATTCTCCTCTCGGGATCTTGGGCACACACGCACACATGCCCAGTGTGAATTTAAGCCACCAGCTCCAGGACTCGAACCACAGTCGACTACATGGGAGTCCAGTGACATAGCCATTACACCAACTGCTGGTCCCTCCTTTGTTTTTTTAAGAATTATTTTGTTTAACTTTAGTTATTACTGTTAGTTTTTAAATTTGACCAGAGAGAGACAGAGAGAGGGAGGAAAAAATGAGAAAGCAAGCTGCCAGGTCCGGGACTCAAACTGCAGTTGGCCATGTGGAAGTCCAGTGCCTTTAACCACCACACCACCTCCCAGCCCCCTATTCCGTTGTTCTTTCCAGAGTATTGTTAAAGTGAATGAGGGAGAGGGCATTGTGGTGGGGTTATTGTGGTCACACTGATTTGACGTGCCATCATGTTTTACTTTTTTTAAGTAAACGTGCTTTTTCTTCCTTTCTGTGTGTTAGAGAAAAGTTTTGGAAAATTGGGAATAAGGAAAGAGATGGAGAATATGGAGCTTGTTTCTTCCCTGGAAGATGCTCTGGGGGCCAGCAACCTCTGATATATTGTGCTCGCCCCGGCTCTAGGATGTGGGAAGTGAACTTTGATGGGGAAGTTCTAAGTACACATCAATTTAAGAAACTCCTCTCCTTGCCGCCTCTCCCTGTGATTTCTCTAAGGTAATGAATCGTAGGACTGGTTAGACTCATTTGAGGAAGTTATATGGGGGCAGGAGGGGTTGAGTGAAACTCTTTGATTTCCTGTGTGTGTTAAAGATTTGAATATCCATTTTAAGAATGAAGTAATCTTTATGAGACGAGTTAAGGAGTGAAGTGGAAATCTTTATTAGAAGAGTCAGAGAAACCAAACAAAAATCTTTGATCAATTGTCCTTCCTAGAATGAAATGAATTGAATAAAGGTTAATGTGGTTAGACTCTTGAGTTTGCTTTAGAGGCAAGTATTTTCATATTGCCAAAAGTGTAATTTTATGTTGTGATTAAATCGTTAAGAGATGTGTTTGCTTCCTAGATCAGAGCCTCAGTATGATCATACAGTTGGAGCCTCCCAGTCTTTGTCTTTCCCCAAACTCTTGCATCTTAGGTACGTTTCTTCCATTGGTAATTTTTTTAAAAGTGCACACTTAACTTTTTCTTTTCATTTCTTTTCAGAGGCTGTTTGTTTTTCAAGGGGGCTTCTGCATTAAATTATTTTTAGACAGTTAAGAGATGACTATGTTCCATGAAGTGTTTTGTACATAAGAGGAACAAAAAAATTCTAGAAATGTGCTTCCCTTTCCAAACCAACTGGCATTTATAATTGTCAGTGAACTTGTGACAGAGCTAAGAGCAATAGGTACTTGTTTCGTTAAAACCTCCCCTACCAGGTGGGATGCGATAATGAAAGCAAGTTTCAGAATGCAGTCTGGCATGCAGATATTTGATTATTAGCAAATAGGCACAGAGCGTTATAGAACTCATTCTTGTAAGCTTGGAGAAACTGGAGCTCTCTGCCCTTTAGATACTGTGAAAAGTATCTTGTATGAAAGACCTGCTTGAGGCAGATTCAGCTGTGTTCTAATAGTAGGGTTCAGCCAGCCTGCTAGTTGGGTTAGGTATAGAATCCACTATTAAGTGGCAGCACAGAGTACCACTCTAAAGGGTGTCAACTGTGGGGTTTGCCAATTCTTGTACCTTCTGCAAGGGTAGGGGTGCCAGTGTATGATTTCCAGACAATCTATGTGTCTAGAACTCACTTCTTCTGTCAAACAGTATGCTTTTTGCTAATTAGTGTCCTCTAAACTAATTAACATGATTGCTGATGGGATCAGAGATTCCAGTGTGGCCATCCTCCCCCTTTGGGGAATGATTTCTTTTTTTTTTTTTTTTAGATTTTTAAAAAATTTTATTTGTTATTATTATTATTTTATCAGAGAGAGAAAGGGAAAGTGAGAAAGCAAGCCCCCAAGTATGGGACTCAAACCGCAGTCGGCCATGTAGAAGTACAGCACATTAACCGCCACACCGCTTGTCGGCCCTAAGGAGGATGATTTTTTACTTTCTCTTTCTTTTTGCCCTATAGCAAAACTAAAAAACAAAAACAAAAAACAAAAAGCAAAACTTCCCAAACCCTAATTTATGTGTTTATGTTGCACTATTTACTCTGAAGTATTTAAATGTCAATTATAGACAATAAACTTTTTTCTTTTTTGGAGAGATTTTTGCTACAGGGCGCGTGCGCTTGCCAGAGAAACAGAGAGAGACAGAGAGACAGAAAGCGAGAAATCAACCCCCAGGGGGGATGGCCATGCCGCAGTCTCTTCTCCTCCATTCTCTTGGGATCTTGGGCATGCACTCACATGCACCCAGCATGAGTTTAAGCCACTGGGCCCAAGACTTGAACTATGGTCGACTACATGGGAGTTCGGCGACACAGCCATGATGCTAACTGCTGGTCCTGACAATAAACTTTTTTTAAGAGAGATTTTTGCTATAGGGAATGTACACTCACTGGAGAGACAGAGAGAGAGAAAAGTCATCTCCTGAGGTGGTGGCCGTGCTGCAGTCCCTTCCCCTCCACTCTCCTCTTGGCATGTTGGACATGCTTGCACACATACCCGGCGTGAGTTTTAAGCCACTGGGTCTGGGACTCGAACTGTGTTCAACTACATGGGAGTCCCGTGATGTGATCATTAAGCCATCCACTGGTCCCCGATAATAAACTCTTGAATAACTCCATAATTTACCCTGGGAGTTTTAGGACAAAGGCAGCTGCTCATTTGTCCATAGTTAGGTAAACCTCATTGAAAATGCTCCCTCCTTTGGCACTCATCCTTTATGGCATTTGTCAGAGTTTGTAATCCCATATTCATACAGTATTTGCGGCCGTCTTAGCCCTCAACGGTAAGCTCTGTGAAGGCATTATGTGTGTTTTGTCCACTATTGTATTTTCAGTGCTTTGCCCAGTACCTGACATGTGACAGACACTTTGAGACTTTTTTTTTTAAGTTTATTTATTTATAACAGGGTATAGAAGAGAGGCATAAAAGAGAGATTGAAAGAGAGAGACACCTTCAATAAGGCCTTGTCACGCTATGAACACCCTTCCCTAGTCCTCTGGCTTGTCAGGATCATGGGCACACACGCACATGCCTGGTGTTTTCAGGCCATCCTGTGTACCCAAACCTGTAGTTGGCCATGTGGCTTGTCACACTGTAGTTCAGTTTGCTACTGACTGTGCCACCATGGCTGGCTCTTTGTTTTTGCTTTTAATTTAACAGAGGCCACATGTGTTAGCCAGAGGGAGAGGGAGACAAAGCACCCGTTATGGAGCATGGTCACACTGTAATCCCTTCTTCATGACTTTAGGCACCCACGCAACCTGGTGTGTTTCTCAAGCCACCAAGTCTCGAACTCGAACCTTGCAGTCAACCGTGTGTGGGATCCAGCCACCTTAACCACCATACCACAGGTGGCCTAGCTGGACCTTTTAAACACAGTTTCTTTATTTACATTATGTTGCTAGACTGGCCTTGAACTCACAATCTTCCTGCTCCCTTCAAGTAGCTGGGATTGCAGTTGTACACCACCATGTCCAGAGATAGATGCTTTATAGATATTTGTGGTGATACATGAGATGTGGGGAAGTCTTACCTAAGAGTGTTTCTTCCCTTCCTCCCTTTCTCTCCTTCTTCCTTGTTTCCTTTTAATGAGAGAGGAGAGAAAAAGAGTGGGGGAAAGAGAGACACACACTCACTCTCACACACACACACACACACACACACACACACACACAGAGGTTATTTTTATTTTTTTCTTCTCTTTTTTTTTGAGAGTTTTTTGCTATAAGGTGCATGCATTCACTAGAAAGACAGAGACAGAGAGACAGAAAGTGAGATATCCCCCCCAAGTGGGAATGGCCACCCCACAATCCCTTCTCCTCCATTCTCCTCTAGGGATCTTGGGCACACACGCACACGTGCCCAGCATGAGTTTAAGCCACTGGATCCGGGACTCAAACCGCAGTCGACTACATGGGAATCCAGCAACATAGCCATTACGCCAACTTCTGGTCCCAGATTGGTTTTTTGACAGAGTCAAACAATCCACCGTCCCAGCCTCCCAGTTAGCTAGATTTATAGGAGCACGCCACTACCCTTGGCCTGTGGGAGGCTGCTCCTGGAACTAAGCCTGGACCTTTCATGTGGCTTGTGCAGGGGGACCTTATTGCCCATGCCACTGTGACTAGGCCCAAGAATACATTTTCTAATAAGTAAACCACGGTATGCTTGGCTCCCCTGATACTTGTTCCTTTAAGTTTAGCTATTTAAAACTCTTGCTATAGTCCCTGACCGTGACAAACAAAACCTTTCAAGACTGGGTTCTGCCTACTCCTCTGCTGAAGCAACCATTAATGCCACTTTGAAACGTTTTCCGCCGCCTCCAGCAGGCTTAGATTAGTTGCTTGCTCTGTGTACGTGTGTCAGACCTCACTCATCCCTCACCCTCATCATCTTGTATTGTGAGTACCCATCCCAGCACCGGAGCGCCAGTTCCCTTGCCATGGACACAGTGTTCGGCCCGTGGAAGGCTCTCAGTCAATAGCTAGTTCAGCAAAGACGGTTCTGAGAGACACAGGTAGTTATGCGGGAGGCTTCTCTTTGTTCCTGTTTATCTCCTTTCTCTCCCGTTTTCACACGTTTTCCTGTCACCACCCTCAAATCCCACAAGGGACATTTTCATATTCTTTGTTTCCTTCTAGGTACATTGGCGTCACTTAGTGAATAGGCTGTGTCCTGTTCATTGTGTGTTTGTGTATGAGCGAAGGGATCGGGGAATGAGGAGTGTATGAACTACAGGTGTCTGCTCTTATCTGAGTGTTCCCCATTCAGTCTGGGTTACGATTCCTAAGGAACTTTCCAAGTGGAACATCAGATTCAATATCAAAATCATTATCCTGTATCTCTTTACTGGCCCCTTTTTTCGTCTCTGGTTCTTGAAGACAGCCGTCCCCATTTTTTTTTTTCCCTTCCTTCGTTGAGGCAGAGCAATAGGCACCACAAGGTGTGCACACTGCGATCCACCCCAGACTGCTGGTCTGGGTCACTGGCATCCCGGTGCATGCCCAGTGTGTTCAGGGAGATCACGTCCCTGGATCGCTCCCGTGTGAATCCAGTTGTACTGCCACTGCGCCACCACCTGGCCCACCAATTTCACCTACATTGGACTAGGATTCCGAGCATTTCTTTTTATTTTATTTATTTTTTTGAGAGGTTTTTGCTATAGGGCGCGGGCGCTCGCCAGACAGAGAGACAGAGAGATAGAAAGCGAGAAATCACCCCGCAGGGGGGATGGCCACGCCGCAATCCCTTCTCCTCCATTCTCCTCTTGGGATCTTGGGCACGCACGCATGCACGCACACATACCCAGCCTGAGTTTAACCCACAGGGTCCGGGACTCGAACTGTGGTTGACTACGTGGGAATCCAGTGACATAGCCATTACGCTAACTGCTGGTCCCCCGAGCATTTCTTCCATCTTTCAGACAAAGATTACTTTCCCATAGCAGCAGTGAGCTGGTATTTCATACTGACAAAATGTTTGCCATTTGTATCACACAGTTTATGTTAAATATCACTTCGTTTCACAGCCACATGGAACCATTTTTATTGGGCTATCCGAAAAGTCATGACGTACTTTTCTATGTCTTTCTATACAAAAATGTGTCATGACTTTTCTGGAAACCCAGTACTCTTGGTAACAACAACAAAAAAAATGGTTCCTGGTTGTTGCTTTTTTGTTGTTGTTGGAGAGAGACAGAGAGGGAAAGTGATAAACCCACCCCCCCCCCACCCCAGGAGGGATAACCACTCCACATTCCCTTCTCTTCCATTGTCCTCTCGGGATTTGGGGAAGACACACACATACACCCTGCATGATTTTTAAGCCACCAGGTCCAGGACTCAAACTGCAGTTGGCAGTGTGAAGTCCAGCTCCTTAACCTCATGCCCCTACTGGCCTAGGTCCCTGTTCTAAAGATTATAATTTGTTGGGAGATATACTTATTTTCATAAAAAGTTTAAGAACAGTAAAAAAGAGACTTGTGACAGTGTAGTCATGATTAAGCACCATATCGTGGGATTGATAAATAGTTTCAGTGCAAGAGGAGGAGCACTTGCTGAGGAGGAGGGTTTCTTAAGACTTCTGCCGATCCCTTAGAGGTGGCTAACATGAGGATGTTGTAAGTTGAGGAATGTCCTGAGCAGGGGTGAGGAGAGGAGATGACCAGTGACATGCAGTACCTAGCATCCTTGAGAGAGTAAGGGAGACATGAGATGCACACATATCTGTATGAGCAGATGAGTGTAGAAAGGGGCTAGCGGAGATGGAGAGACCAGAAGAATGGAGAGGGAGGTGGAGAGCTGTAAAGTGCAGTGTCCCAGAGTCCAGGGAGGAAGGAGCAGTCAGCAGGACTGGCCTCTGCTCAGGGGTCAACAAAATGATAAATGAAATAGAATTATTGGGTCTCGAAGTTAGAAAATCTGTGACTTTTTGAGGACTCAGTTAAGTGGAATAATCAGGATTCCAGTTAACAGTGAGGGGGCTGGTGAGGATAAATGAGGGAAGAAGTAGGTTCTGAGAAGTGTAGAGGAAAAGGTCCATATTTTAGAGCTAGATAATTCTCCGTGTACATTTTGACTTCTACCTCATGCTGAATGACTTGGGGCGTGTTGTTTCATCTCTCTGGACCTCAGTTTCTTTTTCTTTCTTTCTTTCTCTCTCTTTCTTTCTCTCTTTCTCTCTCTCTCTTTCTCTCTCTCTCTCTCTCTCTCTCTCTCTCTCTCTCTCTCTCTCTCTCTCTCTCCCTCCTTCCCTCCCTCCCTCCCTCCCTCTCTCTCTCTCTCTCTCTTTCTCTTTCTTTCTTTCTTTCTTTCTTTCTTTCTTTCTTTCTTTCTTTCTTTCTTTTTAATAAGGATAACACATCTATCCCAATGGACGGCTCCTGAGTTCGATAATCTAGGTAGAGCCCGTAATAAAGCTCTGGCACATAATTAACCCGGAGTTTACAACCTTTTTTGGCCCACACATCACTAAGAAAGGCAAAACATTATTATTCCTAAAAGTGGCCCCACTAGGGGCCAGTAGGTGATGTGGTTAAGGTGCTGGACGCCCACATGGTCATCTGTGGTTCAAGTCCTGGGTCTGGCTGCTTGCTTTCTCTGTCTCTCTCTCTCTCTCCCTCTTTCTCTCTCTCCTTGTCTATGCCTCTCTGGTGAGTGCATATGCCCTAAAACAAATTAAAATGATAACAATGTTAATAAATTAAATAAATTCTTAAAGAAAAAAAAAAGTGGCCTCACCAGAGCAGTAATTGGTGGTTAAGATGTTAACCTTTTTTTTGAATATGCTCCTGTCATGTCAAATATATAAAGTTTAACTGCTTTAACCAACACCAGGTAAGTCATCCCTATGCTTTGCTTTCTCTAGACACCAGCCTTTGCTTTCTCTAGAAGATACTTGGTATCTGTGTTTGAATTGTTCCAATTTGGCATCATTTATGCTTGTTTTTTGGTGGGCTGTTGATAACAATAAGGAGGTGGAAAGACTTACTGAACAATGCGTCATGTTTTTTTGGATGGCTGAGGGTTACAATTTGTTTCAGTAGCTAATGTGAGAATTTCAGTTGAGGGAATGGTGTGGAGAGTTGCTCTCACAGCTTGGATTCTTGACTTATTTTATTTTCTCTTGCAGTGAGCATTGTGTGTTGACTTGGACAGAAAGAGGAATTTATATTTTCATTCCTCAGAATGTTCAAGTTCTTCTTTGGAGTGAAGTCAAAGGTAATTATATTTTATCTTCCTTATATAATCTTTCATCTCATGCTAATGTAAAAGGTTTAATTATTGCAGGAAGATCCTCTTTATGGAAGAAGAAGTCGAAAAACAGAGTGAGGTGACATTTCTTTTAAAGGTTAAAAATCGTAGCTGTTTCCCTTGTAAGGTACTTCCTAAACGTACATTTTATTCATCTACTTTTTCATGGGTATTTTTAAAATACAGTTTTTACTTACTATTAAATATTTATTATGACTGCTGAAGAACAGATGGGTTTACTCCCCCTGTGTTTGCCCTAAATCTTTATTCCTACTAAAAGTCTTCCTTTGACTCTCGTTTTGTGTCCTAAGAGTTAGGACTGAGAAAACCCTTGGGCGAACAGCAGCAATTGAGTGTGACTGAAACTGAGAAAATCAGTCTTCTTTTTTTTTTTTTGGTTAAGACGAGAAATGTGGGAAATCTAAGTTTTTTAGCATTGTTGTTGAATAGAGAAGATATGTGAACCCTTTTGGGTCTTTCTCCAATTTGTGAAAACAAAAGTGTATCCATTATTTGCTGGTCTGATCAATGATTAATTGCGAATTAAGTTCCTTAAAACTTAAGTCCCTTGAAAACTTTTTTTTTTGCTGGTCTGATCAATGATTAATTGTGGATTAAGTTCCTTAAAACTTAAGTCCCTTGAAAACTTTTTTTTTTTTAGCTCTTTCAAGTTGTTCTGCCAAGACAAGATGTTTTCTCATGAACCTTTACTGATTTGCACACTTTGTTAAAATCCACTCATTCAGCTTCACATCGTAACTGTCAGGAATGGTATAGTCTGGTGTAAAGTAGGGACCAGCAGATGGCATAATGGTCACGTCACTATACTCCCATGTAGTTGACCATGGTTCAAGTCCCAGACCTAGTGACTTGAAACACGCTGGGCACATGATCATGCATGCCCAAAATCCCAAGACGAGAATGGAGGAAAAGGGATTGTGGTGTGGCCAACGCCCCTGTGCCCCCCACCCCCACCCCGGGGAGTAATTTCTCTTTTTTCTGTCTCCCCGGCAAGCACACGCACCCTACAGCAAAAAAATCTCTCTTAAAAAAAAAAAAAAGATTACCCTCTTTTGAAGTTCTACTTCCTTCTCACAGAAAATGATATTTTTTTGTGTTTCGTTTTTTAGATTTTTTTTTTTTTGCCATAGGGTGTGTGTGCTTGCCAGAGATGGGGAGAAGTGAGAAATCACCCTTTGGCGAGACCAGCAGTTAGCATAATGGCTATATCGCTGGACTCCCATGTCCTTGACCATGGTTTGAGTCCCGGACCTGGCATCTTAAATTCAAATTCATGCCAGGTGCATGTGCAGGCATGCCCAAGATCCTGAGAGGAGAATGGAGGAGAAGGGACTGTGGCATGGCCATCCCCTCAGGGGTGATTTCTCACTTTCTCTGTCTCTTTCTCTGTCTTTCTGGTGAGTGCACACACCCTATAGCTAGCAAAAAAGAAAAAAAATGGAAGAGAGTTCAAAAAATTCTAATATTAACCCTTATAATTATTGCTCATACTTCTTTATCACTTTTTATTCATCCTTTCCTCAGAGGCTAGACACGTACTCTGGGTTGGTAGCAAAAGTATAAAAAAGCCAGGGACCAGCAGGTGGCATGGTGGTTAAGGTGCTGGGTGCTCCCACATGGTTGACCACGGTTCAAGTCCTGGACCTGGTGGCTTGCTCTCTCTCTCTCTCTCTCTCTCTCTCTCTCTCTGTGTGTGTGTATCTCTCTAGACATATTTAAAAAAAAAAAAAAAGAATGAATGAATGAAGTTAAATAAATAATTTTTTTTTAAGTATAAAAAAGCCCTTGTGATTTTCATAGATATTCTGGACGTGGCTGTCTACAAGAACGAACTGTTCTGTTTGCACCTGGATGGGAAAGTCTCGCATCTGTCCCTGTTGTCTGTGGAGCGCTGTGTGGAACGCCTGCTCAGGAGAGGCCTGTGGAACTTGGCTGCTCACACATGCTGTCTTTTCCAAAACTCCGTCATTGCCAGCAGAGTAAGTCAGTGCTTTCCTAGACATGTTCCTTGTGGTCATGAAACCATCCTAGCCTACAGAACTGTGTTATAAAAGTTGTTTGTCTTTATTAGTCCTCTCTGTGAGGTACAGATATGGCCATGCATCTTCAAAGAAAACATGACAGATATAGCTGAGGGTGGTGGAGGGTAAGAAAAGTTAGCATAATGGCTATATACTTTCCATTTTTAAAAAATATGAAATTTACCTACAAACTTACTTACATTTCACAACTTGTTATTAAGTAGGATGATTATAGCTCTGGTAACTATTAATTATATCCTTAATTCCTGAGACAATTCTTGCATTTTTCATAAGCTTTCTATGTCTTTCTAAAGCAACTTTGAAGGGGGCTGGACAGTGGTGCAGCAGGAGTGCAGTGCTCTGTGAGACTGACCACACGGGAAGGTTCTAGGTTCTCATCTGGAGGTTTCTCTGAGTGTGCCAAGTGCATGCAAGCCTGTGATCCGGGCTGGCTGGGGTCAGGCCTCAGAATGGATCACACCGTAAGGGCACTGTTGGCAATCCCTGACTCTCTGACTCTCTGTCTCTCTTGCTCATGAAAGAAATAAATTTTTTTTTTTTTTTTTTAAAAAGAGATAAAGTACCTTAAATTTTTTTAAAAAGAATACTAGTGAGGGAACCAGCAGTTAGCGTAATGGCTATGTTGCTGGACTCCCATGTAGTCGACCGTGCTTTGAGTCCTGAACCTAGTGGCTTAAACTCACGCTGGGCGCATGTGTGTTCATGCCCAAGCTCTCAAGAGGAGAATGGAGGAGAAGGGACTGCAGCGCGGCCGTCCCCCCTGGTGGGTGATTTCTCACTCTCTGTGTCTCTGTCTCTCTCTGTCTTTCTGGCAAGTGCACGTGCCCTATAGAAAAAAACCTCTAAAAAGAAAAAAGAATTATTAGTGAGAAAGTAAGCCACCAGGTGCAGGACTTAAACTGTGGTTAACTATGTGGGAGTCCAGCGCCTTTAACCACCATACCACCTGCTGGCCCCAGTACCTTAAAATTTTATGTTCTGTGTTAGACCTCTTACTATTGTATTGGCCATTCAAATGTAGGTTTAGTTGCAAACAGCAAGCTATTCCACTGAGTTTTTACTTATCCTTTCATTAGGCAAGGAAAACTTTGACTGTGGATAAATTGGAGCATCTGAAATCACAGCTGGACTTTGAAACTTGTAGTGATCTAATTTCCCAACTGGAAGAACTGATCTTAAAATTTGAACCTTTGGATTCAGCTTGCAGCAGTAGAAGAAGCTCCATTTCCTCACATGTAAGTATTCTTTCTTTTTCTTTTTTTTTCTAATTGCTATAGAGTGTGCGCACTCATCACAGAAAAGACAGAAGGACAAAGCAGGAGAAGCACCCGTCCGGTGGGTGTGGCCATGCTGCAGCCCCTTCTCCATTTCTCCATCCTGTTGGGATTTTGAGAACACGTGCACATGTACCTGACCTGTTTCTCATGTTACCATGGCTGGGATCTGAACTCTAGTTGACCATGTAGGCTTTGGCTTCCTTAACAGGGCTAGCCCTTCTATGTAAAATTTTTCTTTTATCTTTGTTTTTTTTTTAATAGAATTTTTTACTATAAAGCCTGTACACTTACTGGAGAGAGAGAGAGAGAGAGATAGAAAGTGAGAAATCCCCCCCACCCCCTTGTCATGCCACAAGCCCTTCTCCTCTTGGGATTTTGGGCATGCATGCACTTGTGCCAGGGTGTGAGTTTCAAGCCACCAGGTCAGTGTCTTGAACCACAGCCGACTACATGGGAGTCCAGCGATATAACCATTATGCCATTTGCTGGTCCCTTTAAATATCTTTTTTTTTTTTTTTAACTCATGATAGAGCATGTACACATACATGTTAAGATGAGAGAAAGAAAAAGGAGCACCTTCCACAGGGTTTGGCCGTGCTACAAATACCACCCCCATCCTGCTCTCCAGCCTACCAGATCTGGGACACTCGAGTGTGTGCCAGGGGACCCCGAAATCCACACTGCGCCTCTCACACACCACACTCTGGAGCTGGCCCCAGATGCTCACTTTTAAAAGGGTCTTCTAGTAGAATAAGATTTTCCTACCTAAGGTTGTGCCCATATATCTCTAGGATTCCAAGACTCGTCTCCCGTCCCATGCAGTAGGCTTTTTTTGGAGGGGGCTTCGTTTCAGCCTTTGCACAGCCACGGGAAGCCGTTAGGTGAACCTCGTAGCCACATTTCGTTCTGTCATCCTTTACCATCTTCTGTTCCCAAGTACGCCTCACGTGGTCTCCTGTACAAGTTGTGTTGTTCCTAACATGTGGTCTCAGATGCTTTATGAGAATTTGAGTGTCAGTGCGACTCAGCTCAGGTCTGTCCTGTTCCACCCCTGAACTCACTGCCACTCTTCACGAAGACAAGCTAGAGAAGGGTGTCAGATTGACGCCGCCCGCACTCGCACGTGCCCCAGCAGCCGGCCCAGCTCCTGGGCCTTGCTTTCCACAGTTGCTGTTGCCGACTTCCTGCTTTAGTTTCAGGATTTCTCTGAAAAAGTTATAGGGTTTTTGTTTTGTGGGGGTTTTGCCATAGGGCTTGTGGTCTCTCTGGAATGAGACAAAGAGAGAGACAAAATCTCCACTGGAGATTTTGGGTACACAAGCACCCCGTGCCTGGCGTGATTTTCAAATCACTGAACCTTAGGCTCAAATCACAGTCAACCACGTGGGGGTCTACCACACCACATGCTGGCCCCATAAGTGATAGTTTTATAAAGGAAATTTTTACTTTGGTGATTTTGGAATACTTTCTTTTTAGGAAAGTTTCAGCATCTTGGACTCTGGTATTTATCGCATCATTAGTAGTAGAAGAGGCAGTCAGTCAGATGAAGACTCCTGCTCCCTTCACAGCCAGACCTTCTCAGAAGACGAGCGACTTAAAGAATTCCCCTCACACCAGGAAGAGGACCAGCCGGATCAGTGTTGTGGCCCACATGGGAACGAAGGTGATGAATATGTGTGTTGTGGTAGCTGATGTGAGACCGTATTTCCTGGGAGTTTTCGCTGTCGGGATTGTCTTGTGCATAGTTCCTATAAGGCATTAATCATTTTACCATGCAGGTAGGCTTTCCATCCATTGCTATAGATCTGATCACCCCCAGAAGAGTGGGTTTGTTTCATATTTTTCCCCCTCATGTTTTGGGCTAACATTGGTAAAGTGTCTAATTCTGATCATGCATCAAACACTGAAAAGGTTAAAGAATGTCACTAATCAAAAGAGTAGAAAGATTTTATTCTGACTAATCCATTATTTTTTATCAGGAATGAAAAATTACCACAGTTTTGGGGGCCATTGCCTTCCCTTTTCGATGTTCGAGCATTCCCGTGACTGAACTGTTGCGAAGCGATTAATAGAGACTCTAAACTTCCTTTTTGACTTTTGGGGACTCAGGGTTAGTATGAGTAGGCAAATGAAGGTACCTCCCTAAGTGTTTTGTGTAGACCATCCTGTGTACCTTGTAAACCTGTGTTCTGCTCATTCCTATCTGGGTCAATTGTGATTTTTGGTATTGAATCCTTCATTTCCTTTGGTTTATTCATTTCAGAATTTCTTTAGAAAGTAAAAAAGCTTCCATGTGATTAGATATTCTCCCCCATTCCATTCATTAGAGAATACTCCTCACATTCCGGTGACGTTTGAGACAGATAAGAGTGAGACCTTCCTCCCCTTCGGCCTTCCATTACCATTCCGTTCTCCATCTCCTCTTATGTCACTTCAGGCCGTCAAAGAAAGGTAAAACAATTCGTCCTGTCATTTAATTCCATTTCTGGTTTTTCTTCATTTGTCACATTAGGTACTTTGTGCTGAGAATGGGAAGACGTTTTAAATGAGAGAATGAGAGTCTCAAGTTTTTTCTCTTATAACCTGTTTTCAGAAGCCGTTGACTTGTCATTTCAACCTTGGGGAATTTAGCTTCCTTCTTTGTTGGATAGCTGGGTATTAGTTATTACAGATGAGGGATTGTCTCCTCCATCTCCCTAGACAGGATAGAAATGTTCAAATGTTTTTTCCTTATCCCAAATAGGAACAGTTTTCATTATATCATTAGTCATTTCTTTTTCTTTTTTTAGAGAGATTTTTGCTATGGGGCACATGCAGTCACCAGAGAGACAGAAAGTAAGAAATCACCTTACCCCCAACTCTCCCCCGCTGGAGGAGATGGCCATGCCATAATCTCTTCTCTTCCAGTCTCCTCTTGGGATTTGGGGCATACACGCACATGTGCCAGGTGTGGGGGGGTTTTTGTTGTTGTTGTTTTTAAGAATTATTTAATTTAATTTAATTAATTTATTATTCTTAAATTCAACCAGAGAGAGAGGAAGAGTGAGAAGGCAAGCCACTACGTCTGGTACTCGAACCAGGGTTGACCATGTGGGAGTCCAGTACCTTAACCACTATGCCATGTGCCTGTCCCGCAGGCATGAATTTTAAGACACCAGGTCCAGGACTCGAACCACAGTCAACTATGTGGGAGTCTAGCAACGTAACTATTTCATCATCTGCTGGTCCCCATTAGTTATTTCTTGATCCTTTCTCTGTTTGGGCTCAAACCTGGAGACTTTTCAGAATTCTTTCTAGTTGCTCCATAAAACTGGGATTGGCATTTAAGTTTGAAAGAGAAGACTATACAGCTACTTGACTGTTTATCTGTGCCTTACCAGATACAAATGTTGCTTGTTGGAAGGATATATTGTGATGAGGTAGCAACTGAGTTTCATAGAAGAAATACTTTGTTCTCTGACCAGGGTGGGACTAATGCTCACATGGCCTACTTTGCCGTAGTTGACAGAAACATAGGCACACTGGAGTTAGGCATCTTTTTCTTTTTTAGAGAGAGAGATTTAGGGTGCGTGCATTTGCTGGAGAGACAGTAAGCGAGAAATTACTCCCCAGGGAAGATGGTCATACCACAGTCCCTTCTCCCTCATTCTCCTCTTGAGATTTTGGGTGCTGACATACACGCACCCAGCATGAGTTTTAAGTGACTGGGCTTGGGACTTGAACTGCAGTCGACTATGTGGGAGTCCAGTGATGTAATTGTTATGCCATATGCTGGTCCCAGGGACCTTTTCCTCTAGCACTGAATCATTTGTTTCTCAGTTAATCATCATAATGTAAGTTTTACATAGCTTTATGTGAAATGTATAGTTGATTAGAGAAGCTGCTGTAAACAGAGCCTTTCTTTTTATTAACTTCAAATAGTTTTCCTGGGAATAATAGGAACAGAAAACTCAAGTACTAAATTTTCATTCAGTATTACAAATCTTATTCATGAGATTTTTTTTTCATGTTAGTTTTTTGGTATTTTTTTCCAGTGTTTCTAGCTTTGTGCGAAAAACTACCGAGAAGATTGGCACGCTTCATACAAGCCCTGATCTGAAAGTGAGACCAGAACCTGGAGGTGATGAGCAAGCTTGTGAAGAGGATGCGAGTTCAGTTATCTGCCCCAAAGAGGAAGACACTGAGTAAGCCCGTGTATCTGTAAATCTGCAAAATCCAGCGTAGGCAGTTAACAGTTTGAAGAAAGTTATGGGTTGTATCTTGTTGGAGAAGGCCTATGTATGATCCTATTGATTGAAGATTGTTTGTGTAGCTCTTAAAAGTTGTGAACTCACAGTGTTGAAAAGTTACATCAATTCATAGCAAATCTATTGAGAAAGAGATTTGTTTAGACCTCTTCTAAGTTTCTCCTACACAAACCCCCTCATTCCTCTATAGTCTTTTCAGACTTCAAGGATGTCCAGAAGGGTATTAGATTTAGAGTAGGGATGTAAGGATCTAGGCCTCATTCTGGCTCTGCTTTGGACTGCCATGTGACTTTGGGAAGTCACTAATGCTCTCTGGCCTGTAAGATCCAAGATGTGCTATTGTTTGATGGGTTAAAAGGGGGATTTTAGATGAAGAGAATGAAAAAAGAAAGAACTTAGGTAATAAATCATTGCTCAGACAGTTGGTTAATGTCCTGCCAGGTCCTGGCTGTGACATGGCAGCAGCAAGTCCTTATGCTGCAGCAGAGCCCTCAGTCTGGCAGAGTGTGGGGTAACCTGTCTGACTGACATCTGTCCTGACGCATGGTTCAGAGGATCTGGGCATTGGAGGGAGGCAGGTGTAGCACTCACCCAGGGACTGAAGGAAGAAAACCACAAGCCAATGTATTTAGGCAATCAGATGTAAAAAAGGTGTATTGTCCTCACAAAAACTTAGTGCATCAATATGTTTATAGGAAAAAAATGCACATGTTTTGGCATGGCATTTAACGCAGCCCTCAGTCTGAATTTAGCCCACCTCATTTCCAACCACATCCTTGTAAGCCATCTGAGTTCGAGGCCTGGCAGAGGACTGAGTGTGACTCTGACACCTCACTGCCTTTTTTCAGCAGTGTCTTCCACCCAGAGTATCCTTCTGCCATTTTTCCTAAGTCACAGTCCACCCTCTTCCCTTAATTGCTGAGAATAATTGTTTCTTCTCTGCTTCCATAATGCAACGCCCTTTAAAGTGTTGCTCTTTAATGTTCATTTCAGTCCTTTTTTCTGTTAGAGTTAGTTGTTTGCATGCCTCTTTTTCTAGTTAGAGCTCACTCTCCATGAGGCTTGGACCCTTTGCCTCAGGTAACATGAGGAACAATTACCTGTTACTAAGTAAATGCTTAGAACTATTTATCTAAGAAAGCACTGGTCCCTTATAAAGCTTGTGAATATTTATTTATTTTTCACACTTGTCTATAGGGAAAAAAATGAGGAAACCAGTCAACCTGCAGAAGAAGACAGGTTCCAGGAGCTCAGAGTAGCTACAGCAGAGGCAATGTGAGTATGAAAGAGAACGGCTCTCCAAGGTCATCACCGGTGGTTCTGAGACAGTCAGTAACAGAGTGCTCTCATTTGGAATCGAAATTTTAAAACTTGTAAGATACCATAAAGTTAATGCTCTTTTTGTTTGGTTGGTTTTCTTTTAGATTTTTGCCATAAAGCATGTATGTTTGTCAGAGAGGAAAAGTGAGAAATCACCCCCAGGGAGGATGATCACACTGTAATCCATTCTCCTCCAGGGATTTGGGTCACACATGCACATGGTCTGATTTTCAGGCCACCAGGTCCGGGACTCGAACTGTGGTTGACCCTGTGGGAGTCCTGTACTTTAATCACTCGCTGGCCCCAATGCTCTTCGTTTTATTATTTTGCTGAAATAATTGTTATTTAAAGAGCTGAAAAATAACAATTATGCCAGGTGAAAATGTTGTATCAGTCAGGTTTATTTAGCATGAAATAATTTGTTTTAAAAAACCGCATGAAATGTGAATGTCATACTTGTCTGTCTTACGTAGGGCCAAGCTGGAGGACCCTCTGGTTTTATTTGAACCGAAGTCATTGAGAATGGTTTTACAACAGTGGCTTGCACAGTTAGAAAAAGAATTTGCCATGAAGGACTTTTCGAGCATTTCAGATACTGGGAACTCATCCATGAAGTTGAGCCAGGATGCGCAATTGTTTGATGAGTCGAAAAAGGGAATGTTAGATGAAGAAAATGAAAAAGGATACTCCTTAGGCAATGAAGAAACTGTTGATCAAGTATGTAGTCCTTCAAGTAGTCAGACAGAGCCCTCGGATGGCCATTTTCAAGTATGTTCTCCGTGTACCATAGCAAACAGCCTTCAGAAGGACCTGGCCGAATTGACAGCGTTGTGTTTGGAATTGAGAGTATTGAATTCCAAGACTGATAGCTCAAGTGGACATGTGGACCACATTTCACTGCAGTGCTCTCCCGAAATTCTGGCATGTCAGTTCCTAAAGAAGTACTTTTTTCTCCTGGACTTGAAAAGAGCAAAAGAGAGTATCAAATTTAGTTACGCCAACAGCCCTTGTATATGGGACACTTTCATCCAAGGACTGCAAGGTAATAATCAGATTGCTTATCGAAGAGAGAAACTGGGATAGAGGGCACTAGCATTATGGAGTTGAGAGATTTAAACAAAGATTTAAGTAGACAATAACGTCTGTTCTGGTCAGTCCTCTGTTCTTCTTTTTAAATATTTTTTATTTAACTTTACTTATTTGCTTATTTTAATTTGTCAAGAGAGGGACAGAGTGAGAGAGAGAAGAAAGAGGTAAAGTGGGAAAACAAACTGCCAAGTCCTGGATTCGAACGGTGGTCATCCATGTGGGAGTCTAGCACCCTTAACCACTATGCCACCTGCCAGCACCAGTCCCTCTATTCTCTTTTGCCATTCATTTTAATTTGAACTGTTCTTCAAATATTGGCTTAATTCACAAGTACATTATGAGGACTTAGTTTTATTTCTCTCACAGTCACATCCAGAAAATGATACAATAATGTTGGAGAAGTTGGCGTTAGATAAGATGTTTATAAATGCAGACATGAAAATAAGAAAAGCCCTCGGGTAACTTACTAATGTAGAAATCATGTACGTAGTATTGGGGCCGGCAGGTGGCATGATGGTGGAGGGTGCTGGATTCCCACAGGGCCGACTACAGTGAGAGTCCTGAACCTAGCAGCTTGCTTCCTCTCTCTCTCTCTCTCATCAAATTAAAAAAAAAATAAATAAATAGAATAAATCATTCTTTAAAAAAAGAAATCATTATACGTCGTATGTTAAATACCACATACTGTGGTAAACACTTTTTAGGCCTATCTCATTTTAGAGTAGATGATGTCATTTTATAGGTAAGGAAACCGAGGCACAGATTATATTTGTAGGCCAAACTGCTCTAATAAATGTTTCGCAGTATAATGACTCAGATATAATAGAACTTTATTTCTGGTTCACCTAACAAACAGTCCAGGACAGGTGTTCCAGGCCCATAAGCAGGTCTCTTCCATGTGATAATTCAGCATTCCAAGTTCATTCCATGATTTTAAGCCTCATTCTTCCTTGGGGTGTATTGAGGTTGAGTCGCTATGTCCAGAGAAAAACACGTGGAGCATGCCCCTTTATAGGCCTGGCCTGCTGGTGCCTTCTGTCACCTCTGTTTACATCCAGTTGTGAGAATCTTGTCACATGGCCCTACCTAACTGTAAGGAAACGGAAACTTCCCCTCCACTGGTGTCCAGGAGGGAGAGAGCGAATATAGAGGGAGAGTTTGCACACCTACCCAGAGCCTAGTGCACAGGCCGCAGCGTTACTTCAGGCTTGACCGGAGGTCACTGTTTGTCCCCATGATGTAACCAGCTCTCATAACCTGAAGGTCACGCCTTGCCCTTTCTACTGCCGTAGTCCCATGATTCTGAAGAGGTGAATTTCTTAGTTCAAGTACTGCTTGAGTAACAGGTGCCATGCTTTTAATAACTGATTTAGATTTTAAAGAGACTTCTTATTCATTGCTAAAAGCCAACAGCCACAGGGAAGAGTACATTATTATGTTCTGTGACTTCTAGATGTTTGAGCTTTTAGCTAAAAACGTGGATCTGTAGTTACACTTCTGCTTCAGTTCACTTCTAGCAGTTAAAAGCATAAGAAATTACTTTAGTTGTGTGTGTGTATGTGTGTGTGTGTGTTTTTCCCCTGAGCCCAGTATATTTTTCAAGCCACTGGATCAGGACTCAAACTGTGGTTGATCATGTGCGATCTGACTCCCTTAACCACTGCACTTGGGAGCCAGCCTCCAGTTTGACTTTATGGTCCTTAAAAGTACAGATTGAATATTGATTTTTTTTTTTTTTTAGTCTTTCCTACAATGTTTAACAAATGGGCCTTGCACATAGTAGGTGCACATGCGAGGTGTGTGACTACTGATTGTTGAATGAATGTGTTTATGACTTCAGTATTTACAGTGAAGAGACGAAGGGAAAAGACTGTACTTTTATCTTTCAGAAATGGCAAGTTCCAATCCTACATACCTGGAGATGGAAGAAGGAGACCTACCAACAAGATTAAAGTTATTAGACGACTCGGTTCCTTTCGATAGTCCGTTATTGATTGCTTATGCTTCTAGGTAGGTTATCCCTGTCGTTTATATGAACAACAACACGGATTGTTTTTGTTTCTTAGTCTCTAATGTTTTACTCGTTTGCATATCAACCAGCTTCTTGTTAATATACTCAATATAAATTCAATTAGTGTTTTTTAAATCTCTATTATATTTACTCACTGTACATCTTTACATCATACAAAATGGTTTTGCCCAGCATGAATAGAGTGCACATTAGTGAAGTCAAAAATATTACTATTATTTTCATCTTTTTTTTTTTTTTTTGAGAAATTTTTGCTATAGGGCGGGTGTATTCACCGGAGAGACAGAGTTAGACAGAATGTGAGACATCAGCCCCTGGAGGGGACGGCCGCACTGCAGTCCCTTCTTTTCCATTCCCCTGTCAGGATTTTAGGTGCGCACACAGACCCACATGCTCGGTGTGAGTTTGAAGCCCCCAGGTCTGGGATTTCGACGGTGGTTGACCGCGAGGACGAGCAGCCCCGTAATCACCATGCCCCCTGCTGGCCATCACCGTTCTTCTCAGTTTTAATAAGTACTTAACATGACTAAGTTAGTTGTCTCACTGCAGCTGGAGACTGAAATGTTTTGTTTTTAAATCCAGGTTATATGACAAATTTGGAGAATCAGCCCTTCGATCCTTGATCAAGTTTTACCCTTCTATTTTGCCCTCGGATATCATGCAACTTTGTCATCGTCATCCTGCTCAGTTTCTGGCCTACCTAGACAGTCTGGTGAAATCAAGGCCCGACGATCAGCGGTGAGGAGGAGAGCCTATTTGCAGACTCCTTTCTTTGATTCCGCGTTGGTCCTCTCTTGGGCACAGGCATAACATTTTTACTGTCAGCTGCCACAGGGTTGAGGCACTTGCTATGGAAGATGAGGGTTTGGGCAGTCTTGTACCATTCTGCCACACTTGACAGCTCACATCACAGATGGGCTTGTGCCACACTTCTCTTCCCTTCTCCCTCAGTCTAAGGCGTTCTCAGACCGTCAGTATAAAATTGAAGCCTTGACCCAGGCCTAGGTACAGATGAATAAGCTGCTGCTTGTCTCTGCCAGTGAGTAGATGTATTGCCAGCTCTTTATCGACAGGGTGACTCTCAGTTCTAGCTCTTCCCCTTTTATGCTGAAGTCTCATTTCCTGTCTCTCCGTGGCTGTAAACACCCATGCCTGGTAGTTATTAGACTGGCAGCTTCCTCCTTTCTCTCTTCCTCTGACTGGCTGCTTTCTTCCTCTGATTGGCCGTGTTTACCCCCCTAGATCGAGCAACCTTTCTTCCTCCTTTCCTTTCCTTTCCTTTCCTTTCCTTTCCTTTCCTTTCCTTTCCTTTCCTTTCCTTCCTTCCTTCCTTCTTTCCTTCCTTCCTTCCTTTCTATTTTAATTGCCTGAGGGCATGTGTGCTGGCCAAAAAGAGGGGAAAAGGAGAAAGTACTCCCTCCCTTAGTGGGGAGCAGTCAGACTGCAGTCTTCTGTTCTCCATTTCTCCAGCCCATCAGGATATGGGCACTTACCCACATGTTCCCAGTGTGGTTTTCAAGCCACCAAGGCTGGAGTTAAACCGTGGCTAGTCATGTGAGCTCTGGCTTCCCTGGCACAGTGCTTAACTACTGTGCTTTAGGCCCAGCCTGCAACACTGGATTTTATTTCTCCTTTTTTTTTTTTTTTTTTTTGACTCTTTGTTATTTTCCTTATTAGTGATTTATTTGGAAGACTTAAACTTTCCTTTTTTGTTTTTTTGAAAGTTTGTTTTTTCCATGAACTAGAGAGAGAGCATGAGCACCCCCAATAGGGTCTTGACACCAGAATCCACCCACAGCTTCAGCCAGCCCCGGGTCATACACAGGTGCATGCCTGGTGTACTCAGAGAGGTCTCCTGATGTGAATCTACAATCCTCCCGTGTGGGCAGCTTCAGAGAACATTGCCATTTACCACTGTTCCACAGTATTTTATAACAGAAGAGCTTTCAGTCTATTTTATCTACTGTATTAATCCCCTAATCACATTTTCTTCACATCCCCACAGTTTATGTTGCCTTTGTCAGCATGAAGGTTGATGGTGTCTCTCCCCAACTTTCCCTTAGGTCAGCCTTCCTCGAATCCCTTCTACAACCAGAGTCTTTAAGGTTGGATTGGCTGCTTTTGGCAGTGTCCCATGATGCTCCCCCAAGCACAAGGACGATGGATGATGAAGGATACCCCAGGTACGGCAGGAGTCTTCTAAGGGTTAGGCTCCAGTATTCATTTGAAAACCAGTTTATTCACATACAGCATTCTGAACATACTTGAGGAGCAGGTGTGGAAGAGACTGACCCAATTCATGATAGTAATGAGATCGAATGTACTTCTTTTAAAGAATTATTTATTTTATTTCCTTTGTTAGTATTATTTTTTAATTTGACCAGAAAGAAAGAGAAAGGGACAGTGAGAAAGCAAGCCACCAGGTCCAGGACTTGAACCACAGTCAGCCATGTGGGGGTCCAGTGCACTTATCCACCATGCCACCTGCTGACCCCGAATATATTTCTTAATGATTCTAAATATTTTTTGGTTCACAGATCTTTAAGAATCTGATGATTTCCTTTCATAAAAATGTAGGTTGATGGAAAATTTGGCATGTGACTTCAGAGAATTAAAGTGGGCCCTCACAGCTCTTCCATGGACCCTCTTTAAGAGCCCTTAATGATTAAACCTGTGTTAGAGGGAGAAAAGAATGCATTTGTGGGGAGTGTTTTCTTCCTAAAAATTTGTCAAGGGGTCTAAAAAAAAAAAAAACCCTACAATTCATAGGACTACCCTGTAGCCTAGTAGTTAAGGGAATTGGATCCCACATGGTAAACAGGATTTGAGTCTGGCCCTGGTGGCTTGAAAACACACTGGGTATATGTGTGTGTGTGCCCCGGATCCCAACAGGACAGAGAAGTGGACAAGGGATTGGCATGGCCTGGAAGATACTTTCTTCTCCACCCTCCCCAGTTTTTTTCTCTCTCTCTGATGAGTGCATCCACCCTCACATGTTAAAAAAAATTGAATTCACCAAAAACACACACTGGTACTTGCAATATGTCAGCAGAATTCCTTGGTTTCCTCCAGAAGAAGCTTTTGAAACTCCCACAGTGCCTGTCTTGTATGCCTAGACAAAGGGCCAGAAGGATGTACAGTGGCTATCTGTGAGTGACAGAATTATGCGCATCCTTCTCTTGCCTCTGATCACCTAAAATATTTAATTATATTTTGGTAGAATGAAGTCCTTTTATATTAGTAATTATTTATTTTTAAAATACTGCCAGAGGTGGGACCAGCAGTTAGTGTAATGGCTATGTCGCTGGACTCCCATGTAGTCGACCACAGTTTGAGTCCCGGACCCGGTGGCTTAAACTCACACCGGGCGCATGTGCCCAAGATCCTGAGAGGAGAATGGAGGAGAAGGGACTGTGGCGTGGCCATCCCCCCGGGGGGTGATTTCTCGCTTTCTGTCTGTCTCTCTGGCGAGCGCACGCACCCTATAGCAAAAACCTCTCCAAACAAAAAGAAAAAATAAATACTGCCAGAGGGAACATGCAGTGGCCAGAGAGAGGGGACAGAGACCACGCGTCAGTGGATGGCACGGTCACACCGCAGTCCTCTTCTCCATTCCCCTGTCTTGTCAGAGCTGGGGCAGGTGTGCACATGCACCTGGCATGTTTCCCAAGCTGCGAGGGCCAGGATTTGAACCACAGTCGCCATGTGGGATCCTGTTCCTGATGCATAGCACTCGACCACTGTGCTATGGGACCGGCCCTGTACTATCTAATTTTTTGAAATAAGCAGGTTATAGGAAAAGTGGTTATTTTTAAGTTTTCAAAGGCCAAATAGAAATGTTTGGAAATATAATGGTAACAGAATATAATTAAACTCTATTCTCATGTTAGGTAACTAATAAGCATTTTCTAGAGTTTATTTCCTGTCTAATTTACTGATTCTTTTTTAATTTCACAGACCCCATTCACACTTGTTTTCTTGGAGTTACAGTCAGTTGATCCTTCATCTGATTAAACTTCCTGCAGACTTTACAACCAAAGAGAAAATGACTGACATCTGTAGGTCTTGTGGGTAAGCAAAGATTTTCTTAGAAGCTGAAGTTCAGATTAGAATGATTTCATTAAGGCACTAGATTCCCACATGGCCGACTACAGTTTGAGTCCCGGTCCCAGAGGCTTAACATTCACATCAGGCACATGTACATGCGTGCCTAAAATCCTGAGAGGAGAAGGAATTGTGGAGTGGCCATCCTCCTTGGAGGTGATTTCTCAGTTTCTCTGTGTGTGTCTTTCTGTTTCTCTGGTCAGTGTATGTGCCCTCTAACAAAAATCTCTCTCATTAAAAATAAATAAATAAATAAATAAAAAGAGCCTCAACCGACATGTTTTATCATTTGGGAAATCTCTTTGCTACATAAAGTAAGCATGCCTTTTCATTTAAATTGATATAAAGTAAACATCATTTTCCCTTAAAATGGTGCACATATTTTTTGTGTAGAAGAGACCAAATTCTTGATAATTTCTCTTCCCTTGCCCTGTTTAGCTGCTGGCCCTAGTTCTCAGGCAAATGGGCCATATCTAATTAAGCACAAGACTGTCATGCCAGTCTGTAAGTGATACACAATTTTTTTAAAAGAATTATTTCTTTAGTTTTATTTCTTCATTCATTTACTTTAATTTGACCAGAGAGAGATACACACACAGAGAAAGAAAGTAAGAAAGCAAACCACCAGGTCCGGGACTGGGACGTGGTCAGCCATGGGGGAGTGTGCAGTGCCTTAACCACCACGCCACTTGCTGGCCCCGTGATACACAGTTTCTAAGAGAGAGATTAGAATGAGCTCAAGGGACCAGCAGATGGCAGAATGGTTATGTTGTTGGACTCCAATGTAATCAACTGCTGCTTGTGTACAGACTCGGCATGCCCAAAACCACGAGAGGAGAATGGAGAAGAGATTGTGGCATGGCCATTCCCCCTGGGGGGTGATTTCTCGCTTTCTGTCTCTCTGTCTCGTACAAATGCCCTATAGCAAAAATTTCTCTCAAAAAATATAAAAGAATGAGCTCGATAGAATCAGTAATGAAAGGGCTCCTCAATGGGGAGGTGAGGCTTGAGTTAAACCTTAAAACCTGGAGCCAGCCAGTGACCTGGAGCTTAAGGTGGCTGGATCCGACATGGCCAACTGTGTAGTTTGAGTCTCGACAAACATGCTGATGTGTGTGTGTGACTGCCCAAAATCCTGAGAGGAGAATGGATTGCAGCATGGTCATCCCCCTGGTGGGAGGGGACGGCTTTCTCACTTTCTCCCCCTCTCTCAAAACAAAACAAAACCCTAAAACCTGGTTAGCGTTTATGTTTATAAAAGAGCTCACCAAGGAGGAGGGTGAGTCAGGTGAGAGAAGCAGTGAGAGCAGAGGCATGGAAAACCGACTGCTTATTATCCACATCACATGTTAGGTATTTATTGCCTGGGCTGTTGGCCCCACCCGGATTATAGCCTTTTGGAGACAGGGGCGTGCGTCTCTCTTTTCCGTCATGGTGCCTAATTCATATAGCGGTAGGGGTTTGATACAGATTCCATCCCTGATAGTGAGGGGTGACATTGGCCAAGTGTTGAAGGGGCTTGAAAGCTGATTAGAAGAACTTAGTAGGTTGTTGGAAAAGTCATGACGTGCTTTTCCATGCAAAATGTGCCGTGACTTTTCCGTCAGACAACCCAATAGTTACCAGTACACTCTGTTAGTCTTCTTGGTACAGACACTGCATCGTGAAAGTGGAGCTTTCTGGAGACCATCTCTGGTATTACACACGAGGGGGACTGGAGACAGAGCCGGTCCAGTAACTCAGTGGGGGGTCGGGGACCAGGAGAGCAGCAAAAGGAGCACATCCGAGGGACCTTTCTTTCATTTTTTTTTTTTTAGAATTATTTTATTTAGCTTTATTTATGTATTTACTTATTTTAATTTGACCAGTGAGGAACAGGGAGAGAAAGGGAAAGAGAGAAAGAAAGAAAGCCGCCAGGTACAGGACTCAAACCGTGCTTGACCATGTGGGAAGTCCAGCATCCTTAACCACTGCACCACCTGCCGGCCCCCGAGGGGCATTTCAAAGGAAAATGTCAGTACTGGATAGAGCAAATGAAGGAGGGGGAGAGTCAAGGAGAACTCTTAAGTTGCATGTATTTTAAAATTGATTTTTATTATTATTATTATTAAAGTTTTGCTGTAGGGCACATGTACTCACCAAGGAGAGACAGAGGCAAGGGTAAGGGGTGGCAGGTGGGAAATGAGTAAACAAGCCACCAGGTCTGGGACTCGAACCGAGGTTGGCCATGTGGGAGTCTAACACATTAGCCACCATGCCACCTGTTGACTCCAAGATTTGCATATTTTAAAGAAGTATGCTGATTGTGCATTGAATCTTAATGTTTATAAAGTATATAAAGCTTCAGTGCCTTGTAATTGGAGCTTGCCTTCAAGTGTCAGTATGCATCACTGGCTTTCGCTTTTTTCTTAAATGTACTAAATCTGGGTCGTCTGTGGCGTGTTCTGTGATAATGGAGTGTTCTGTGCTGTCCAGTGTGGTAGCTAGTCACGTGTTGCTGTCAAGTACTTGAAATACACTTAATTTTCAACTTTTGAGGTCAACTGAAAAACTGACTTTAAAATTTTATTTGCTGGGCTGGACTTGTGACCTGGTAGTTAAGGGAGTAGGATCCCACGTGGCCAACTGCATGGTCTGAACCCCCCGCTGATAACTTGAGAAATACCCCAGGCCTGCGAGTGTGAGTGTCTAGAATCCTGACAGGGTGGAGAAATGGGGAAGGGAGTGTGCATGACCACACCCCACTGAGGAATGCTTTCTCCTTCTCCCTCTCTCTGTCTCCTCCAGTAAGCACATGTACCCTCTGGAAAATACTTTATGTGCTTTTAATTTATTTAAGTGTAAATAGCTACATGTGGCCAGCACCTTCTGGACTGGAGAGTGCCATTCCAGATAAATTCACTGCATTTCATTCCTTTCTTCAACTTTGGTCCTTTGAAGTTTCTGGCCTGGATACCTGACCCTCTGTTTGGAGCTGGAGAGAAGAAGAGAGGCATTCGCCTGCATCGTGTGTCTGAATGATATGAGCCTGATGGAAGGGGACAATGGTATGTAAATCCCAGGTGGTAACTCCTGGTTGTATTAATATTAGGTTGTTGGGAAAGATGTGACCTGTTTTTCTGTGCAAAAATGCATCATGACTTTTCTGACAACCCAATGTACTTTAGAAATCACTGCAGACTTTTTTGTTTTGATTTTTTATTGTTTTAAGTTTTGCTATAGGGCCCATTCATTCACTGGCGAGAGACAGAGAGACAGAAAGTGAGCCTTTTGGCCGGAACCACCATCTTTCAGTAATTAACCAAAATGACAAACACAAAGAGAAAGAGGAAAGGCACCTGATACATGTTCTCTAGGCCTTTTAGAAAACATGGAGGGGTTCCTTTGGCAATGTATATGCAAATCTACAAAAAAGGTGATATTGTAGACATTAAAGGAATGGGCACTGTTCACAAAGGAATGCCCCACAAATGTTACCATGGCAAAACTGGAAGAGTCTATAATGTTACCCAGCATGCTGTTGGCATTGTTGTGAACAGACAGGTTAAGGGCAAGATCCTTGCCAAGAGAATTTATGTGCGTATTGAGCATATTAAACACTCTAAGAGCAGAGATAGCTTCCTAAAACGTGTGAAGGAAAATGACCAGAAAAAGAAAGAAGCCAAAACTGGCTCAAATAAATGCCCAAGCTGCCCCCACCCAGAAAAGCCACTGTGTGAGAACCAATGGAAAGGAGCCTGAGCTACTGGAACCTATTCCCTATGAATTCATGGCATGATGGGTGGTCTATAAAAAAAAAACAAGCAAAGTGAGAACTCACCCTCCAGGGAGTGATGGCCACACTACCACTACCATCCCTTCTCCGGTTTCCTCTCAGGAAGGCATGCATGCACACATGCCTGACGAATTTTCAAGTCCTTGGGTCCAAACCACACACTTGGCCATGTGGGATTCAGCCTTCTTAGCCTCTACGCCACCTGTTGGCCTACTGTAGATTTTTTTTAAGAGATTTTTCTATAGGGCCTGTGTGCTCGCCAGAGAGACAGAGATAGAATGTAAGAAATTGCGTTGCAAGACATTGACCATGCCACACAAGCCCTTCTCCATTCTCTCAGGATTTTGGGCACGCATGCAACACGCACCCGGTGTGAATTTCAAGCTGCTGGGTCCAGGACTCAAACCGTGATCAACCACGTGGACGTCTAGTGTCTCATCCACCTGCTGGCCCCACTGCAGACTGTTTAAAAAATAAATTTGAAAGATTTTTTAAAAAAAATTTTTAAGAATCATTTATTTAATTTTTTAATTATTATTTTTAATTACCTATAGAGCACATGCTTTCACCAGAGAGAGACAGAGGGTGGGGGAAAGTGAGAAAGCCAGCCACTGGGTCTGCGACTTGTACTGTGGTCTGCCATGCGGGAACCCAGCACCCCAATCACCGTGCCACCTGCATGCCTCTTGGAGAACGTTTTGACGATCACGTATATTCTAGCTAGTTGTCAAATTTGTGTAATTTTAAAATTTAAACCTTCGCTGAATTATAAAATCATAATTAGGCATAAACTATGTCTGTTCTATTTAATGTGTGCCTAACTTTATACATTCATTTGTTTTATAATTTGATGAGAGAGACACACACAGAGAGAGAGAGAGAGAGGGAAAGTGAGAAAGCAAGCCACCAGGTCTGGGACTCAAATTGTGGTTGGCCATGTGGGAGTGTCCAGCACCTTAGCCACCACGCCACCTACTGATACCCAAGTCTTGTTTTTTTAAGGTAATTTTTTTTTTTTTTTTTGGAGAGGTTTTTGTGATGGGGCTCGTGCATTCACCAGAAAGACAGAGAGACAGAGAGACAGAAAGCAAGAAATCACCCCCCAGGGGGGATGGCCAAGCCACAATCCCTTCTTCTCCATTCCCCTCTTGGGATCTTGGGCACGCACACACGCCCGGTATGAGTTTAAGCCAATGGGTCCGGGACTCGAACTGCAGTCGACTACATGAGAGTCCAGCAGCATAGCCATTACGCCAACTGCTGGTCCTTAAGAGAAATTTTTGTTATAGGGTGCGTGCATTTGATGGAGAAACAGAGAGGGATAGAGAGACAGGAAGCAAGAAATCACCCCCCAGGTGGTCTGGCCTTGAGACTGGGGGCATGCATGTGCACGCGCACAGTGTTTTAAGCTACCGGGTCTAGGACTCAAACTATGGTCGATGCATGAGAGTCCAGGGATGCAACTATTACTCCATCTGCTGGTCCCAAAACCCAGATTCTTGGTCTTCAAGGCCTGGCCCTATCATTCTCACTCTCGCTTTCTTTACTGACTTTGTGCATTGTATGTTCTTTTTATTTTTTTTTAATTCCTTGAACTCACCAGGTTCATCCTGTGTCACATCATCTTCCATGTTTCTGTTGTTGAAAATGTAATGTAGGGCCTGGGCCTACCAGTGTTGTGGTTAAGGCAGCTGGATCCCACATGGCTGACTATGCAGTTCAAGTCCTGGACCTGGCATCTCGAGAAACATGCTGGGCACCGTGCATGCATGCCTGAAAATCCTGAAAGGAGAAAGCAATGGAGGAGAAGGGATTGCAGTGTGACCATTCCCCGTGGCGGGGTGCTTTCCTCTTTCTTTCTTTCTTTCCCCTTTCTTTCTTTCTCTTACCTTTGGGCAAGCTCATGTGCCCTCTAGCAAATTAAAAAAAAAAAAAAAGTAGGCCCCTTCACCCTCCAATCCCGATGCCCTCTGCCCTCCATGGGCACGTTTTGTGGGCCACGTGCACAGTACCCTCTAGACTTGTCTTAGCTTTCAGCTTACTGCTCACGTCCATTTTCTCATCGAACTCGTTTCAGATCCCAGACACAATCAGCCCTTTTCTTTAACAGCTCCTTGGGCTTTTCCTTCCCAGTTCTTAGCACAGTTTATAAGTGTGTATTTATGGGTTTAGGTTCTGTCTCCTGCCCTGGCCTAGAAGCTCCACAAAAGTACAGGGGCTGTTATGTTCCTCATTGCATATCCAGTGCCTAGCACAGCGTACGCTTTAGGTCTTTGCTTACTGTCAATTCTGTGCCTTCTCTTTATCATAAACTATTTTTCTTTTCTTTTTTTTTAATTGCTAGAAGGCATGTGTGCTTGCTAGAGAGAGACAGGGAATGGGGGGAGAGGGAGAAAATGCTCCCCAATGGGCTGTGATCATGCAGCCATGTGGTCATGGTCCATTCTTGTTCATCTCTTCATACTGTCAGGATTTTGGGCATGCAACAAACTTAAAAAAAAAAAAAGATTTTAGACATGCATGCACATGCCAAGCATATCCTCAAACCACTGGGGCCAGGACTTGAACCGTGGTCAGTCTTGTGGGATCTAACTTCCCTCAACCAGTAGGCTACAAGGCCAGCCCTATTGTGAACTGTTTATTCAACAATGTCCAGAAAACAACTTGGTGGTCAGTCGAAGTGCTTATATTCTTGAATGTTTTTGTGTTTTGGTATAGACACCTCTACAAATGGTTTTACTCTCCTGGATGTAGACACTCCTGGATGTAGAGTGGTCCGAACTGTTGTTTTGTGTGTGTTTGTGTGTAGGTTGGATCCCAGAGACTGTGGAGGAATGGAAGCTTCTTCTGCATCTCGTACAGAACAAGCGCACAAAGCCAGGCCCCCAGGAGTCGCTAAATGGGAACGTCGGTGACGAGCCCTCTCCCATCAACTTGGAGAATGTGGCGCTCCTGTTAGCCAAGGCCTTGGGCCCGGATCGGGCCTGGTCACTGCTACAGGAATGTGGTCTGGCCCTTGAGTTATCAGAGAAGTTTACCAAAACCTGCAATATCCTGAGGATTGCTGAGAAAAGACAGAGGTATTCCCATGCTCTCTCCATGGTGCTTTGAGAATGTGTAAGCCCCCACCCCTGTGCTTTCAGAGGTAGATGGGACTGTAGAGTTTGCCTCGTCTAGACCCCTCACTAGCTGATCAGGAGACCAAGACTCATCTGGTCATTGCTATGATTTTTCAAAAAGACTAAAGTAATATGTGTGTGTGTGTGTGTGTGTGTGTGTGTGTGTGTGTGTTAACATTTTTTTGAGATTCATTTATTTAATTTTAGCTATCAGTATCATTATTAACTTTTAGTTTGCTGCAGGGCTCCTGCCCTCACCAGAGGGGTTGAGGGAAGGGAGAGAGAGAAAACTGACAATTCCTGAACTCAAACCACAGTCAGCCCTGTGGGAGTCCAGTGCCTGAATCGCTGTGTCACCTCTTGGTCCCCTAAAGTAATATTTTATTCGGAGTCAAGATCAATATACCATTTGGATTACTGTGAATACCCAAATTCCATGTGTACTTGACTTTTTTAAGAATATTATTGGTGGGCCAGCAGGTGGTGTGGTGGTTAAGACACTGTATTCCCATGTGGTCAACCACAGTTCAAGTCCTGGACCCAGTAGCTTGAAAATGATAACGAACAAATGAAAAAAAACTTTTTTAAAAAGAATATTATTGGTACCAGATAACTAATTGTCTCAGTCAAGTTTTTTATTGTTGTTTGTTTTTTAAATGTGCTAGAGGTCTGGGCAAGCAGGTGGCGTGGTAGTTGAGACACTGGACACTCCCACATGGCTGACCAAGGTTCAAGACCTGGACCTGGTGGCTGGTCTCCTTTCTCACTTTCCCTCTTTCTCTCTGTGTGTCTCTCTCTGGTCAAATTAAAATAACTGAATGAATAAAAATAAATAAATAAATACATATTTTTAAAAATTTGCTAGAGGTTGTGTGTGATCCATCACACTACCACCTGCCCCTCTTTTTATTTAATTGTGGTAAAATACATAATGAGATAAAATTGACCACATTGACCATTTTTAAGTATTCAGTTCAGTGGTATTAAATATATTCTTGTTATTGTACAATCAGTATCCTGCATGTTTATTGTTTTGCAAGGCTGAAACTCTGTGTCCATTTTAGACAACTCCTCGTCCCCCCCATTCCCTGCAAACCGTGACCGTGCTCTGTTTTCTCCGTCTGTGAGTTGAAGTGTTTTAGCTACCTCCTCTAAGTAGAATTGCAGAGTTTATCTTCCTGTGACTTGCTTATCTCACGTCACGTGTCATCAGGTTCATACATTTCGCAGCATGTGTCAGAATTTCCTTCCTTTTTAAGGCTGAGCAGCGTCCCACCGAATTACATTTTGTTTATCCATTTGCTGATGGACATTGGGTTGTTTCTTCTTGGCTATTGTGAATAATCTTGCTATGAGTACAGGTGTATGATCTCTTTGAGATCCTGTTTTCAATTCTTTTGGGTATATACCCAGAAGTAGAATTGGATCATATGGTATTTCTGTTTTTAATTTTTCCAAAGTGACTGCACCATCTTCCATTTCTACCAACAGTGCCTATGGGTTCCAGCTTCTCCACATTTCACTCAACACTTACTATCTTCTGTTTTATTTTATAGTAGATTTCCTAATGGGTGTGAGTTAATATCTCTTTGCAGGCCTGTTTTATTGCTAGAGTGCATGTGTGCATGTACACCTGACAGGAAAAATCAACCCCTTTCCCAAGGGGGCATATTCACACTGCAGTCCTTTTTCTTTTGTTTCTCTATCCCATCAGGATTTGGTGCCCAGCATGTTTTTGCTTCAAGCTGTTGGGGCTGGGATTCATACAGTGGTCACCGTGTGGATCTGGCTCCTTATACACAGGGTTAACCACTGTGTTACGGGGCTGGCTCTCATTGTGGCTTTGTATTTTCTTAACCACTAGTGCTGTGGAGCATCTCTTCATACGCTTATTGATCATTTATATGTCATCTTTGGGAAAATTACCTGTTTGCCCATTTTCAAATTGGGTTATTTTGTTGTTGTTAGGGTTCTCTTATATTGTGGCTATTAACCCTTTATCAAATACATGATTTGCAATTTCTCCCATTTTAGAACTCACCTTTTTACTCTATTGATTGATTATGTGATGTAATGTACAGAATCAGTTAACTTTTTGAATCCTCTAAGTCTCTGTAGGTTTTTAATTTTCTGTGAAGAATGAGCAATGATAACTAAGTTTGCTTCTTTCTTTTGTTTGGGATTTCAGAGCCTTGATACAAAGCATGCTTGAAAAATGTGATCGATTTCTCTGGTCTCAGCAGGCCTAATGGAAGATGATTTATCAGGATGTCGTAACGTTCTGAGAAAACCTGAATTATGCTCATGTACCTTCTGAAAGCATTTGTTGTAGAAGGAAAAGTGCCTCCCAAAACTGCTGCCTTATTGGAGCTACTTTAATCGATGCCCGTGACCTGGCATTTGTGACTCAGCATTAACCTACATTGGACTTGGAAGGAGCCAGTCTGTTGGCCTCAGCACCTGGGTGTTCACGGCTAGTCTTTCTCTATGAACTGCAGTAGTAATTGCCTATTCCTATTGGACTGGGTGGGGGAAATTCTCTCCCTTCTCTGGAAGGAGAGCTTGTCCTGGTCATGTGAAGACACATAATATTATCAACTGGGGCTGAATTCTTTTCTATAGCTTATCTGGGGCAATCTAGACTTTACTGAAATAGAACCTGGTATAATGGAATTGACACATAAAATAAGTGAAACACTGAAGATTCAAATTAGATATTTAAATAAAATGCCCCATAATATAAATTGAACTAATTTAAAATATTTTTTCCCGATATTTATTTGACATTTCGAATCTGAACCTGTGTGTGTGTGTGTGTGTGTCTGTGTGTGTGTGAATACATACATATATACTACTAATTCTTTGCTGTAAATGTGTTACCTCTAATCTTTACTAAACAAAGTAACCTGAAATCATGCACTTTTAAAAATTCTTTTTAAAAAGCCATAATAAAAGCTGAGTACTAATAAAGACTGCAGCAAGCATTTGTATTTGAGCTGTGTGACTAGGTTGCCATTTGTCAGGTTCCTGTACATTTACAGAGCGTATTGTATCAATAGCATAAACTGTGAGTAAAGTTTTCATTTGAACAGAATATAGACATATGGTGTGTATGAGAAGTTTTCAGGAAGACTTGGGGTAAAGAGTGTGAAGCAAGGTGTCGAATATATTGAAAGAGTCATCTCTTTTGTTCCTCTATAACACAGTCAGAGAACACAGCCACACTTTGCCGTCACACTTACCCCTGTACGGGTGTGACCAGGTGGGGCAGATAGTCAGAGACGTCACAGAGCTGCCTAGAACCGTGGGAAGGGAGGCAAACCTTCCAACTAGTATCAGCTGCGTTTTGGCTGTACTGGGTGATGCTGAACGTGAGTCTGTTCTGATGGAAAGGGTGGTACTGTCTGCCAGCTTTAGTCCTTACACAGTGACTTAAGGAAGGCCTCATGACAGCAGGACAGCAAGAACCAGCAGGATTATGCAGTCATTTCCTGACAGAACTTCCCGGGACACAGTATAGCATTCACTTACCAAAAGGGTATGAAGATATATTTTTTTTTAGAGAGGTTTCTGCTATAGGGTACATGTGATCACTGGAAAGACAGAGAGACAGCGAGAAATCACCCCCTGTGGGGATGGCCACGCCACAATCCCTTTTCCTCCATTCTCCTCTTGGGATCTTGGGCACGCACACACATGTGCCGGCGTGAGTTTAAGTCTCTGGGTTGGGGACTCAAACCATGATTAACTACCGTGGGAGTCCCAACAACGTAACCATTACACCATCTGTTGGTCCCTGAAGAGAAATTTCTAGTATAACAACAACCAATCATATCACCTGCACTTAAAGACAAACAAAAGTCCCCTTTAGTTAAACAGTTTCATTTGAACACCTTATGCGATACTAACTAGGCCATACTTTCATGTATAGCTTAAATCTTACATGCCTCAGAATTCCAGACAGACTGATTCATGGCTTCCTCACTCTTGGTTTTGTTTCCAGATCTGACCACTGGTTACAAGGTAGCAGAGTGACTGAAAACTTGGGTTCTGAGGCAGACTGATGGGTTTAAATACCTGCTCTGTGTTGTACTAAATGCTCTTGGGGAAGTGATTTTGTTTTTCTAAGGCTTCCTATCTGTAAAATGGGGGTGATAGTAGCCCTCATGCAGGGTAGTTTGAAGGCTCAGTGAGAGAATGAGTGAGGTTGTTTTGAGGAAGTAGAATTTTTTTTCTTTTAAGAGAGATTTTTGCTGTAGGGTGTGTGTGCTTGCCAGAGAGACAGAGGTAGACAGACAGAAAGCAAGAAATCTCCTCTCATGGGGCACGGCCATGCCACAATCCCTTCTCTATTCTCTTCTCAGGATCTTGGCACACATGCACACATGTCTAGCATGAGTTTTAAGCCAGGTCCAGGACTCAAACTGCAATTGACTATGTGGGAGTGCAGCGACATAACCGTTATACCATCTGCTGGTTCCTAGGAAGTAGAATTTTTATCTGGATATGAATTCAAAGTCAGGATAAAGATGAGAGAAATTAACAAAAGAGGCATTCTTCAGGTAAAATGAAAAGGGGCTGCTTAAAAGCTGCATCAGGAAGAGGGGACCAACCAGTGTTACCAGCGGCCACTACGTTTGGGGTAGGCTAGCCAGAGCTTAATGGAAAGGAACGGCATTGAGGGACGAAACCGGGACAGAAAGGGATTGGACAGAGCGGTCTGGAACAGCATCGGAACCACCAGAGGCCCGAGCATGACCAGGTAAGAAGCAGATGGGTGAGAGGTGTGACATTGACCTGTCACCACAGGTCTCAATGAGAGAGCACATGTGAAATCCCCAGCGTGTCGGAGAAAACGGCTTCTATCCGCTGTGGGCCAGGCAGGAGACATACACCAGGCAGTACTTCCAAGAGGGAGAGTTTGACATAACAAACAAAAACACACAAACAAAAACTTAACTGTTAACAGGAGATCGGTTACTAAGGGATAAGAATACGAGTACATCTGGCAAAGGGCCCCTCACAAGACTGAAATGTGGGTCTTGTTGGAGACTGGCTGTTGCCTGTTGGATGGCAGAGAGTTGGCTGGGCGGATGGAGGGGACAAAAGTCAAAGCTGACAAGCAAGAACCCTCTCCCACCCCCCTCCCGATTGCAGTGCCAAGAGAAGGTACCAAGGTTGTGATGACCCACTGGTAATGCCACTGGGTCCCTCAAATTTACCAGGAAGTTGCTTCCCTGGGGAAAGAGGATAGGATGTTCCCTGGAGAGCCCATCAGGAAGTGGCCTCAGCCTTGGGGGTACCCTGTGTCACCACTGAGATGGTCACACCCAAACAGTCCTGGACACACGCCTCTGCTGGCCTCCATCGCTCACCTGTTCCTACAAATGGGCAGTCCTTACCCCCAAAGATCAACACTCTCTCAACAAACTCAGTCTATAAACATTTATTAAAAATCTACGTGTACCCTGCTCCAGCTTCTAGGGACCCAAGTCCAACAATAACTCTCTGCACCCGCAGGGGCTGACAACTCGATCTCCAAAGAGCAGAGTGAGGAGGAAGCTCAGTACTTGTCAGGCAGGCCAGCGGGTCTGAAGTGGTTGGGGTCTTTGCCACTCCGGCCCCATTCATTGGCAGCCTGGTCAGCCGCCGTGTCCTCTGCTCCGTGGCCTGTGAGGCCCTTAATATTCCCTCTGGCCT